AAATAGTTGGCCCTTCTTGTAATTGAACTATGTGTTGTAGATTGAGCGCATTGATGATCCTCTGGCTCACACAGCGACTATCACTGGGCTCAAAGAACGTACACCATACACGTTCCGCATCCGCGGACGTAACAGGTTGGGCGAAGGACTTCTTGAGTGGTCCTTTCAATGCGACGACGTGGCTTGGAGGTGAGTTCTGCTCCTGTCCTCCTTGCTACACAAATTTGCCGAATAGGTTCGCGCAAAGCGAATTCAACATTTGAAAAACTGCTTTCCTAGGGTTACACACTAAAGAAATGTCTTAACCCATTCGTGACAATGTCAGCCACCGGTGGCTGACAAAGTCTCACTCGGGACAATGGTATCCACCGGTGGCTGCCGTGTTTCAAATGGAATTTGGAAAGTTTTCTTCCTGAAAAGAATCTTCATACCCTCATTCATCTACGCCAGCCCTGGGCAGGGGAAATCTCCATCCACTCAATTTTATTGAAGAAAAATCTCCTGACTCTCCTGCTATTGCGCAATCCCGCGCGGTCGCGACTGGGTTAAGGCAAGATTTAGGATTAAAATTGATGTGGTAATTTCACTCAAGGACTGAAGTAGGGATGGGAGGCGGGCTACATGTGAAGGGAAAAGGAAAGAAAATTGTGAATTACGCAGGAAAACCAGCTCCACGCTCCGGAGAAGTTCAAAAGGCAGGCAGGGAGATGAGAGATAATGTGAGCGCGGAGAGTGGTAGAGAAGTCCGAGAGAGAGATAGCAGATCAACGTGCGACGCAGACAAGATATCGAACGGTGGGCGGACCATGTTAAGTTTGGTGGAGTCTGTTAGAAGTCCATGGCGCCTAGGGTCCTAGTGTGACGCGTTTCGATGTAGAAAGGTGGCGCTACCTTTGCACTTGCGTATTTAGCACTTCTAGCCACGGTAAGGGCTTCTTAAGTGGGTCTGAGCCCGGACTTTGCTTTTGAAGCACGAGCCTCCATCTTGTGTTCTCTCAAAGTTTCTGCTTTTACAGCTCGCCCACCGCACGTGACGGTTACTCCTGCGGATAAGATCGTCAAAGAGCCGAGTAACGAACCGTTGAGCATTGAATGCGAAGCACTTGGAGTACCCAAACCGAGAATTATCTGGCTTTGGAGTGGGCAGTTGGTTGAAGACGGCAAGGTTCGCTAAGCTCTCGTTGAGTTTCGTATTACCTTCCAGTAGCTTCTGCGTTTTAGGATGAATTCCGAGTCTATGATATCACACCAATGGACGCTCAAGACCGCTCAACAAGCAAACTCATTGCCCAAAGCACCACGAGAACTGGTGTGGCTACCTGCCAGGTAAAGACCACTTTGGGCTCACAAATGAAATCTAAGCATCTCATGTTTTTTCCAGGCCGTGAATGCTGAAGGGTCAGACGAAACAAAGACAGAGGTGAAGATCCTTGGACCAGGCAGTGCTCCATTGCATATTCAACCTACACCGATGCATACCGGATTCGATGTTGCATGGCAGCCACCAAAAAGGCCAAATGGACGTATCAAGGTACGAACACTAACCATCATTCAACGAAATCTCTAGCATAGGAGCATTTTTTAGAACTACATCGTCTACTACACCAAGGATCCAGATGCACCGCTATCAGAGTGGAAATCGGAAACCGTTAGTGGTGACCTCAGGTAAATACGACATTGGTGAAGGCTTGCAACCAGGGGCACATGCGTTGCGCACTTCTTAAAGAGGGGATCGTATTTGGGTTTTAGGAGAGTCGTATGTGGAGTGATGGAGGTCACAAGGTTGGAATGGGGAGTCGTATTTTTGGAGGGGCCGTGGTGGCAGTAGAGGGGGATCGTTTCAGACGGTTTTTTAGATCTTGGGAAGGTTTGGAAACGCAGGCATGAACTGATCAAGATTACAGCATTCCCCCCCCCCCCTTACCCCAGTGCTTGACGCCCATCAATTTTAATGTCATCGATGGTAACAAGAACCACAAATATAGTCGCTGGAAGGATTAGTTCGAAAGGTTTCAATGTTCCAACTCCTGGGCGTTGCCGAATATGAAGGTTATCCATAAAGGATAAAAGGATAAAGCATTTGCCGTTGATCAATCCCTTTTTGGGATGCGGCACGCATTCTACTTCCATTTGTACATTCGTAGTGGCGTTTGAATGCGATGTGGCCTATACAATGACTTGCGGGGGCCAGCCGATGTACAAGTCAGTGTTTTTATCCTCCCAGACAAGTCTGGTACCAATTAACCGACCCCGGAGGGATGGAAGGCTTGGTTGGCCCGGGCGACTCACGACCCAGGATTTGATCCCGGACCGCTCGCGTGGTAAGCGCGCCACTTGCCACTACACCACTTCCGCCCTTAAGGTTATCCATAGCAGCACAAATAACCTTAGCGTTGCAGGGAAAAATTGTTCCGCATCTACCCAAACAGTCTTTAGCCTTTAGCAGGTTCAATAAGGTTTCCGTGTAAAACGTGGAATAGATGACCGCTTTATGGGAAGGCTTCAACTTCAGGAATCCTCACAGTGCGTGTTGACGACGAAGACACGCCGTACGTGGTGAAAGGTGCAAGCAGCCACAGATGATGGTCCTGGAATTATTTCGGAAGCCTATGAGGTGACCACGGGAAGAAAACGTGAGTAGAGCATCATAGTGCTTTCATCTCACGTGAGAAACATGATCTGTTATTCCAGAAATTCCTCTCACCGTGCGTCTCGAAATCAGTGACCCACCAGTTTCTGAATCCGACACTGAAACCGAAGTCGAACCAGCACAGCCGATTCACTTCAGGTTTGCAGAAATATTCACCAAGGAAAAACTCAAGTATTTCCTATGAGACGCTATGTATTCAGATGTGTGGCAGAAGGACGTCCGATGCCAAGCGTTTCCTACAGTTGGTTGCCGATGAACTCCACAGAAAGCGGCGATGTGAGTTCAAACCATCTGAGAATGAAGTCCAAAATAGTCCAAATAAGGCATACCACTGTCTTGATGTCGTAAACTCACTTCGAAAGCAGACTTGCTAGTTGTATAAATTGCTTCCCTGATGAGCGCCGGAGCGAGGGATTTTCTCAGCCAAAGGATGGGGAAGAAGGCCTGGTAAAAACGTTTTTGGTTTCGTAGAGCTCCAATGCTCAGAAAGTCAATGTGATCATCCACACCTTGGCTGGATAATAACAGGGCCGTGATGTTCATGCTCAGTTGTGCGCCGGTCGCCGCTACGCAATTTTGTTGCACTCAGTTGAAGGATTCCACGATAAGAACGAAGGTCGAAGAATAGGAAACTTACCTAGTAGAGGGACCCCTAAGGGTGCGGACCAACACGCAATTCACATCGAAGGATATCCCCCGACAATCTAACATGGCTCTTCTTTGACGCCATCGGCTCGGAACGCCCACCAACGTAGCAGAGCATTAGCGTTGAAGAGGGCACGATGAGAGAGAGTCGCATCAATGCGAAAATCAACGGGCAAGGAAGGGGTCCCATTTCTCGGGTTTCGGGCCGTTTCAATGGTTTCTTCTTCATCCCTGCTCCACTGACCACCTCTACCCTTATTTCCAATGAGCTACTTTTCATCGTAAATCCGCCTTTAACAGCGAATTTCTGCGGTGCGCCGCGTAATTCTTGACGCGGAGCGTGACTGGAGAGAATTATTGAAAAGTTCTGTGCTTCTTA